GGGAGCATCTGAATTCGTAAATCAAGAGATTAATTTAATAAATTATATCACATGTTCTTGTAGTGAAGCCATTATTTAAATTGATAATGCAACCTTCTTTGTTGGACAAAATCTCACCTTAATATGTATATAGATATTCAACTTGCTCCTGCAATTGTTACTAATCACATGAACCTTTTTTAGTTTGCTAAAAATGGAGGTGTAAATATTAGTAGTGGGTTACTTTAATTGATTGGACGTCAGTAGTGGGTTACATTAATTAGTGGTAAATATTACTGGTGATTTGTTTATGTGGTCTTTCCATATCAATGTTGCAGTTCCGTTTTTAAAATGTCAAATGACATCGATAACCTTCCCACTAACCGCTGCAATTTAATAGCCCATACGATTTACATTCTCTACATCTCAACACACGCTTCATTGTCGTGGATGGTGTTTATCCGCTCTTGATTCTACATATTTGAACGGGTGTGATGAGTTTGTAGGTTAGCACTGGAAGCTTGGTTTGCATGGGATCTCCCCCCTACATATATATATATACTACCTCCGTTTCTAAAAGAAAGTCACGGTTTGACTTCACGATTATTAAGGAAATAAATTGACTTTACTGTAGAAAACACTGTTTAGACACTGTTTGGCATTGTTTGGACACTGTTTGGCACTATTTGGCACTGTTTGGATGTAGATTTCTTTGCCAAATAAGGAAATAAGGGAAGTGTGACTTTTATTTTGGCACATCCAAAAAAGGAAAGTGTGAGGTTCTTTTAGAAACGGAGGGAGTATATATATATATATATATATATATATATATATATAGAGAGAGAGAGAGAGAGTAATCTTCCGGTCAGGTATACCTGACCGGAGCCGCCGTCCGGCCTCCTCCTTTTGGGGGCCTTCCCGGTGGTATTTTTTGCTCAAATTTTTTGTGTATGTTCCTCATCAAGTCTAGTTTATCCATACCAAATTTCAGAAAAAAATTCAATCGGGAAGGTCGTCAAATGATTTTTGCAAGTTAACTGGTCCGGAAAATACATATACCGGACCAGTTAACTTGGAAAAATCATTTGACGACCTTCCCGATTGAATTTTTTGCTGAAATTTGGTATGGATGAACTAGACTTGATGAGGAACATACACAAAAAATTTGAGCAAAAAATACCACCGGGAAGACCCCCAAAAGGAGGAGGCCGGACGGCGGTTCCTGTCAGGTATACCTGACAGGAACATTTGTGTATATATATATATATATATATATATATATATATATATATATATATATATATATATATATATATATATATATATTACCTTGACACAATTGAAAAGTATGTGGAGGTAGTTAAGGTGGTATTTGTGGTGACTTAAAGTGCTTGAGGTTATAATATTATTTTGTAGGTAAATCAGTTGTGAGTGTAATACGTTTTTATTTGGATATTGTGTTCTGATATCATTATGATATTTTGGTTTAACAAGCTTCATAATGTAAATGTTTTACTTTTAACTCGGGAAAAATATATTAGGCATGGATCAATTTATATGTTTTTTATTAGTCTACCGCCTGGCCGCCTAAGGCCTTACCAAGTCCCGGCTGTTAGCTAGAGCCAAGAGGCCATATTAGCAAACTTGCATCAGTTATCTTCAAGTCGTACTCAGAGCATATTTTTTTAGGTGAAAACAAATGACTCCCTAGTCCATATTGACGATAAATGGTACTCTCTTACAAGCAAACAAACACGCAGTTTCTGATTAAAGTAGGGCAAGCTTTGGAAGCAAAAGAAAGAAAAAAAATCCACACTCTAATTCTACCATGCATTTACTTCCAGTAAATCATAATCAAAGTTAATAATACCTAGTAATGCAAACGAGGAATACTAACAAATCTAAACTTGGGCAAGATACAGGCATGAGCGAACTACAATTTACACACAGGAGAGTGATTGTATGGGAAAAAAATAACCCTAATTAGCTAAAGTATAAGTATCTTATTTCAGATTCACTAGCTTTTCGTAATTACACATCAGCACATTTAAATCTTAAGCTCAACATAACTAACAAAATTAAAGAGACAGAGAGGTACCGGATTCGTGAAGGTAGCGAAAAATTAGGTAGTTCAGGTCCTCCGATGTTATCGATAGCATCCTCTCAAATAGCCGCCGGCAGAGGAAATAAATAACACAGCGGTGTGCAGGGAGCAGCGAGAATGGAGAGAAAATACATAAGGAGAGTTAATCGCTACGTACAAGTGTCGCATCCCCTGCGGAGCTTCATCGCCATAGACGAATTTGAAGTGTGAATGCTTATTGGTTATGACAGTCCGTTTTTATGGTTTAGGCTGTGATTCTAAAGGGGTGTCCAGTATTTGGATTCTTGGCAGATTTTAATGGACCAGAAATTCGTGTTCCGGATTTAGATTTATGTAAAATCCATCAAAATCAAAATAAGATGTTCTCAAATATTCCTTACATTTCTATTTATACATGTTTGGATTGATTTTGATGGATTTTTATGGATTTCTTTATACAAAAACATCCCACCACAAATTTCTCGGATTTCAAAATACATTGATCTATCAAGTCCTAGATAAGTTCACTCCCCTTAAATATGTATTGATAATTTGTGCAAATGAGTCGAACTGCCTGAACTAGTGGGCACACAAATTGAATGGGTATCGAATCCGCCCGTAATTCTATCGAATCAAATATTGGATATTTAAACGATTCTATAAATTTGTATTTCGAATCGAAAATGTACTGTTTAAAACGAGTATGCGACAGTTCTAGATTTTGAGAATCGAAAAATATATGACCCGATCGTTCAGAAATTATGCAATTGAGTACTCTTATAGTCTTATTCAAATAGATCTCAAATTCAAACTAAACTCCCCCGTCCTTTAAAACCAATACTCCCTCCGTCTTTTAAAACTTTGTTATCCTTTCCGGCCTTTTAGAATGTTCCAAAAAAACTTTCTAACTTTCCATTTTAATCGATTATTTGTGGTTCCTGTTATTTCTGTCTCTTCTGCACAAGTCTCATCCACACAGTTTTTATTTTATTATTCTCCGTCGGTCAATCTTGACAAAGTTTTAAGGGATAGAGGGAGTATTTATTTGGGAATTTATCACAAATAGACTTAAAAGTGAAAATAATATCACTTTTATCAATGTTAAAATTTTGTTTCATAAATAGACACCTTCCTAAAACTCCTTATCATTTTTCTTTTCACAAATAGCCACCTTCCTAAAACTCCTTATCATCGTGCGCTTTAATTCGTATCAAGTAGCAACACTTGTTCACCTTCTCCTTCTATATATGGTTGTTAATGAGCCGAACCGAGCCCGGACACCCAAAAGCTCGAATTCATCTCAATAAGGAATTAGTGGTGTTCAGGTTCGAGCTCGAAGCTCGACGAACTTTACAAATAAAGTTCGTGTTCAGCTCGATAGGCGTTCGATGTTCGAATCGAGCGCTCAATAAGTTGGATAAATATAACTCGAATTTAAAATTTTAGGTGATGCTCGTTAATAGGCTCGTGCTTGAATGATTCGACAAGTATTCGGTTTGTTAATAATCATATTTAAATTCATAACATCATACTAATTATATTTAAATTTTGAATATATATAAATTATATTTATAATTTCAGGGTGTTCGATAGGCTCGAGTTTGAACCGAGCCGAATACTACTATGTTCGAGCTCGGCTTGATTAATTTTTCGAACTTAAAACTCTGCTCGGGTTCGAGTTCGAAAGCTCATTAAGCTCTGCTCGTAAGGTTCGAAACCAAGCTCAAACTCCAATAGTTTGATAAAAACTCGGTTCATTAACATCCCTACTTTTATACCTCCCGTAGAATGAAAATAAGCTATTATGCATTGATAAATTAACTAAAAATACTCGGTTTACTCGATATCTTAAATAGAAAAACTAAAAATGTAAAAAAGTACAAAAAGGTAAAAAAGACCAATATAAATGGAGAAATAATAAAAGACTATAAAAATAAAATAAAATTATAAGAAGAAGAGAAACTGAATGTAAAAAATAAAATATGAACAATGCATAAAACAATCAAAATTTATTATACGTGTCTAAAATTTTTTAAAATAAGAAACAATTATTTTAATTTATATGATAAATTGAAATAGTGTCAAAAATGTACAGCTGGAGTATTCTTTAATGCTGGGGTGTTAATAATGCGCTACACGTGTGCCATCCGGAATATTCCTTAGTCCCATTTGCTGGAGTGACGTGTCGTTCGTGTAGTGCTGGTGATGTGGTTGTAACTTGTGCGGTACTTTGATCGCTGAAATACTCAAGTCCAAACTCATTTAATGAAACCCCGAGCTCCGTGAGGTCAGAGCTCGAGTATGGTATGCTAGCTTATATCGGGGAATCCATCTCTGGTCGTCAGTTCGTATGGTAGTGGTCGTTTCCTTGTTCTTTTTTACTCCTGTTGACCTTGTACCAGTGTCTGAGGTCAGATCTGCCACCGAGCTCGGTGTATTCGAGGTAGGCCTCATATTTAGCTTTATCTGGGTGATCTGGGAGATCGATATCTGCGCCAACCTCGGGGGGTTGAGGTCAGCCTCGGCTAGCATACCACACTTCGTCGATTCGCGGTTTTGTGTTGTGACCCGGCCTCGGTCTTCGAGGTCGGGCTCGGCTGGAACTTCATATCGGTCACTGATGTAATCTTGGAATCTTTGTTCGTTGATTATGATACCCCTAGGGTATATGGGAATATACTTCACCAAATTGTTTTAGAATAAATATAACATCTCGAAGTTTTTTACATTAAAAAATTAGAGATATATCATAAAAAAAATACCGCATCTTCACTAAAAGGTTCAAAGAGTTAATATGGGCACACCATGTGTTAGTAGATCATGTAATTGCTTTGAAAATTTGTTTTCAAAGCCAAGCCGAGGAAAGTGCACGCACACCCCATTAGTTCACATTCTATTTATATCACAATCAAGCTAATGGCATCATACTAATATACACAATCATGGACAATTTTTTCCATTAGGAGGAGTTGAGAGCTTTCTCTCCCAAACACCACCCTCGGTTTTGGCCATTCTCCATACGGAAATACCTCATTTCATCCTTTCTTCTTTGATCCTTCTTGGTTGAGCTTAGAATTTAGTTTCTTTACCTCCATATCTCTTTTGGGGTGTAAGTTCTCTAAAGTTTGAGTTCATTTTCGAAGGTTTTGGATAAGAAAACTCTGCAAACAAAATCGGAAATCACTATTCACGTGTAGAGGTCAACGCCCCTACTTAGTGATTCCCTTGTTCAATCTTTGCTTTGAAGGTGTTTCTAGCTTCTCCTAGCTTTGGGGATCAAGCAAATCCGAATTTTTACATCATCAAGAAAGGTTGATTTTGGCCACTTCTCTAACGGCTAAAAAAAAGAATCTAAGGCCATGATCACGTAGAGGGGGTTGCTGCCACTTAGCTTCCCCTTCCTATGTACTATGGGGCATAAGAAGAAGAAAACTCCTCCACCTCCTACCAAATCTTCTTCTCGGATTAAGGCTAAGGCCCAAAGGAAGAACATGGAGGTTTCAACGGACGTTACTCAAGACTCAAAACCTCTCGATGCTAACTCCCAAATTCTAGAGGAATCTTGCTCCTCAAAGATGGAACCGACCAGTGACCCTACTTTGGAAACTCCCCGAGAAGACATCTCTACCATGGTTGAGGTAACTTCCTCTCCTATCACTGAAAACCAAACAATTGATGTACCAATTGTTGAACATACCGAGGAAATGGAGGAACCTCTTGTACCTTTTGTTGATTTTAACATTGAACCCATACTTGAGGACAATGATATACCAATTCTTGAGGAGGAAACTGCTTATGTTGTTGACCCTATGGTTGAGGAAGTTCTGGAAAAGGAAATGGCCGAGGCCAATATTTGATAAGTCCGTATTTAGACACGCATTTGATGCGTGTTCGGGTCGGACTTTGATGATTTTCCTGGCTTTAAGGCGTTGCAAGTCTCAATTTTGGCTCAAGTTGTGTTTAGCAGGCGTTGGATCGAGTTTCATTGCATTTGGAGTTGATTTGAAGAAGTTAGAGTCCGGCAATCGGCGCTTGAGAGGCATTCGGGAAGGATTTGAAGGCATTCGAGAAAGATTTGGAAGATTTGGAGGCCACCGGGAGATTCGCGACGAAATTCTGGTGAAGAAAGAGCAGTTGGATCGACCTCGTAGGCATCCGGGAGCATTCGGAGCAAGAAAACGAAGGAAAAGTGAAGAATAGGGTCAGGCACGCCGTGCCTGGAAGCTAGGCATGCCGTGCCTGATGCAAAATTATTCTGCGAGCTACTGGAGGCCAGGCACGGTCGTGCCTGGCAGCTAGGCACGCCGTGCCTGGCATATTTCAAGGAAACGAGCTACTGGAGGCCAGGCACGGTCGTGCCTGGCAGCTACGCACGCCGTGCCTGGACGCGAAAAAACGGATTCCTTCCGTAGGCACGGTCGCAGGCACGGTCGTGCCTGGCACCGTGCCTGGCCGCGATTTGTCCTAATTCGACCCGAATTCATTGTTTTCTATAAATAAGGCCTCCATAACCCCGTTTTTGGGGGTTACGAACATTACGGAGAGGCCTAGGGACGAATTTAACACCGTTTTTACGCTATTTTCTTCCAAGACCCTGGGATTATTTGTAAGTTCAATTCTTTAATTAATGACAATTATTTCTATTCATCCCAATTCTGTTGATTCGTCAATTATGAGGTGTGAGTAGTTTAATTAGGGATTTGGGGTTGATGAAGGGGTTAATCATGATTGATGGCTAGATTCTTGTCGGTTTAATTGCATGAATGTCGTTTAATTTGTGTTTGAATAATTTAATTGATATCTCTTGTAACCTAGATGGCCACTAGAATTACAATTGCATGTAGAATAAATTAAGAGAGATCTAATTTGTTCTAGAACACATTCACACACACTTAATCGTTCGCTAAGAGATTAGTAGCGATTAAGGGGCCGTAAGCTCGTTCGTTTTGACAATAATTTAGGATCTTGTCGCATGAGAGATCAGCCTGGACCCCTAAATTATTGTACTCTACGCCGCGAGCGCGGTAAGAACTTAGTAATGATTAGCTAGGCTCAATTAAATTAAATTCATGTGATTAGGCCTGTTCTGCCAGAAATCTGGTTAACCCCGGAATCAATTCCTGTTCCCTTAGTCGTTAATTAAGGAAAACCAAATCTTTTTTATTCGTTCATTAGCATTAGTTTTAGTTTAATCAATCAACCAATCTCGCACAATTGCACTTTTATTTTATTTATTTCTGTTTAATCGTTAAATTTAGTTAAACCTTATTTCCCTTTTGTCCGTCCCTGTGGAGACGATACTCGTACTTTCAACCACTTTACTACATCCTTTTTAAGTGCGAGAAAACACTCATCAATATTCCAATAACAAATGCGAATGAGATTGTCATTGAATCAAATGGTGTCCTTGTATCATCTGACAATTCCATTGTCGCGGCAGTTGCCATTCTTTGGTCAAGGTACCTATTCCTCCAATTCCCAATGTGTGGAATAAAATCGTGCCTACTAAATCCTTTGTCTCACTCTTTAAAGAAAATAGGGAACCGGACAAGGGCATGAAACTAAGGTACATTGAACTGAAAGGAGACATCATTGACCTTTCAAACCGAAAGATGACTCCTATGAGTGTACTTTGGGGACATTGCCTTGTTACCTACTTTGAGGGCAGATTTCCCGGATTGAAAAACATCCACAACTTTACCCAAAAATGGGGTGTCCCATGTCTTGTGAAGTCACATGATAGGGGTTGGGTCATATTCAAATTCCAAAACGAAAAAGATAGAACCAAAGTTCTAATGGAACGCCCATATGTTCTCATGGGGAAACTTGTACACTTAAAGGTACTTTCAGATGATTTTTCTATGGATGATGAAGAGTTCTTAAAAGTACCCATTTGGGTACATTTCCCACACTTACCTATGGGAATATGGGAGGAGGAGATAATAAGTGAGGTTGCCTCTAAAGTGGGGATTCCTATTACCACGGATAGGGTGACACTTGAGAAAGCTAGATCATCTTTTGCTAGAGTCTTGATAGAGGTGGATGCCTCAAAACCTCCTCCTCTACATTTTCCTATCAAACTTCCGAATGGCAAGATTCACAAACAATGGGTGAGGTATGAAACCTTTCCTAACTATTGTTTTCATTGCAAATGCTTTGGTCATCATGCTTTTACATGCGAGGTACTAGCTAATATTGAGAAGAAAGATAAAGAAGATAAGGTGGCCAAAGAAAACAAGGATGAAGCCGAGAAGGAAGGAGGGAAAAAGTTGACAAACAAGGAGAAAAAACAGCAACAAAGGGAAGAAGAGAAAATCAACCAACACGATCACCCATTTTTCAAGAAATTTAGATTCTTTAAACTTAGCTTAAAGAAACCAAGAAGGGGTGAGGGAGGTACTTCCGAATATAACAAGGATGGGATTGATGACCTACACAAAACTCGTGTAGTTAACAATTTTCATGATGCATACTGATGGATAGTCTACCCGGAGGTATCTTATCCGGGGGGTTATTGCGGGAATAACTAGAGAGAAGTCAGAGCAAAATAGGAGGAGAGAGAGTCGATTTTATTAAATGAACTCGAGATATCAGATCTGGGATCGTTGACAAGGAGAAATGGGCTGCTATTTATAGCAGCAATAAATGCGATGAGAGTACACGTGCTAGTAATCCAACGGCCGAAGGGTCACATCAATCGGGTGGCACCGGCAGTGGCATGTTCACCGCATTGAATGCGGTTGGTGGATGTGACGTTGCATTAAATGCGGTGGTTGGCTGTCTCCAAAGGGAATCTTCGATGATTGAGTAGCTGGCCGAAGGCTTCCCCTTCGGCCGAGGGTTCTGTGTAGCCGAAGGCACGTGAATGTCGAAGACCTCCCTGATGCCGAGGGCACCTTGTGTGCCGAAGGCTCCTGATAGCCGAGGGCTACTTTTTACGCTGTTTTCTCCTAGTGTCTTCTTATGTTCAAAACTGGCTGCCCTGTGTGATTTGGAGCCTTCGGCCAAGGAGGCCGAAGGCACCCCAGTGTGTATTCTGGGCTCCTCTGAGTCTTGGGCCGTTGTATTTGGGCCTGAGATGCTCCCTGGGCTCAATGGCCCGTGGAGAAGTAGGAGTCTATGGGCCGGGGGTTCCTGGGCCATATATTCCATCACATACCAAGACGAGGTTGTGGTTGGCATGATAACGGAGGACACACTAATGCCTACTATCAAAGTTACACATGAAAAGGGAGTGGAGAAAGAGGCTACCATTATCAAGATTGATCATAATCTTAAGGTGGCTAACAAGGATGAACCCGGTGTACTATTTACCAAAGACTGCCTAGAAAATCTACCCGGAATCACTCCTATTAAGGAAGGATATGCTTATGGTCCAAGGTTCATAAAAGAGGTTTATAGACATTATCTATGTAGACATTATGAAGATGGGTGCCCCCGAGGAAATGCTAGTAAAGTGAAACATCCGAAGAGACTGGATTACAAGGAAGTCCGAATTGTGAAGGACATAAGAGAGGCTTACCGAGATGATGCTATTATCAAATTGGAACTTGGAAAGGATAATACACCAAATATACATCTTCTACATAGAGAACTTGTCCAAGAAAAGATGATAAGGCTTGACAACTACTTGAGGACTATTGATGATGAACTAACCGTGGGTCTAACTTTCACACTCAAATGCCTTGAGGGCATCCCCGGAGTCATTGCTGCAAACGAAGGGTATGAATTTACATCTTGGTTCATTAAATATCCATATAAATTGCTTTATATTGATAGGTACAAACCGAGAGTGGATCTTGAAAAAGTTTGGATACCAAAGAGAGGGGGAGGAAGGAAAACTACTCAAACTTTTTAATGTTTGTGGCCGCATGGAACATTAGAGGCCTTAACAAGGTCTCCAAACAAAATATTATCTTTGATTTTGTTCGTGCTAATAACATACATATATGTTGTTTGCTTGAAACTAAGTTGAACACCACAAAATTTGATAAGTTTAGATCCAATAGATGGCTTTCTTGGTCTTCTATTACTAACTTTGATAATATTGATGGTGGCCGTATTGCTATACTTTGGAATCCTAATCTTGTTGATGTTAATGTTCTTGAAGTTGACAAACAACACATTCACTGTCAACTAAAGTGTAAAACTACACAACTTCAATTCTTTATTACTTTTGTGTATGCTTTATACACGGTTTTGGAGAGAAAGGCTCTTTGGGAGCATGTTGCTAGCCTTGAACCACACATTACTAGTCCTTGGCTAGTGATGGGTGACTTCAATTGTGTGGGCAGCCCAAATGAGAGAGTGGGCACTCCCCCCTCGGCCTACTATTTGCAAGATCTCAATGATTTCAAAATTCAAGCCAACCTTGTTGATACCCCTTCCACGGGTAGTTTCCTAACTTGGAATAGAGGTTCTCTTTGGGCAAAATTGGATAGAGTGCTCATGAACTCCTTATGGACTTCTCAAAATGTTACATGTACTACTCACTTTCATGATATGGAGGTTGAGTTTGACCATGTAGCATCTCATGTTACAATTGGTCAATCTATGATGGGGGGTTCTAAACCCTTCAAGTTCTATAATATGTGGCTTAAAGATGAAAATTTCAGCAACATTCTAAACAACCATTGGTTTAAAGAGGTTTTTGGAAGTGCACAGTTCATCTTAGCCCGTAAGTTCTTAATAATAGGTCTTTTGGGCATATTACCGAGAGGGTAAAAGAGGTAAAGAGTGATTATAAGAGGGTTCTAAACCTTACATCTCTCTCTCCTCTTGATGATACTCTAAAAAATGAGCTATCTTTGGCTAAGAAAAGACTACTCTTTCTAAAGAAGGCCGAGGAGGACTTTTATAGGCAAAAAGCTAAAGCTTCACATCTTGTTCAAAGTGACAAATGTACCAAATACTTTCATGCCATGGTGAATAAGAATAATGCAATAAATTCTATCACGGCCTTAAGGCTTCCAAATGGGGATATTACCACTTCTCTTGATCAAGTTGCTCATGAATTTGTCAATTTCTTTTCTTCTCTTTTTGGTACCCATTATCCTAACTCTTGTTTGGATCCGGGTATTATCAGGACAGGAAAGTGTTTGACTAATCGACTTGGTGACAATCTCATTGATCCTATCACAGATTTGGAGATTCGAAATGCTATTTTTGATATTGGGGATGATAAAGCCCCGGGCCCAGATGGCTACACTTCAGCTTTCTTTAAGCAGAACTGGAACACTGTAGGAAATGATGTTGTTGGAGCCGTTAAAGGTTTTTTTGGCTCTGGAAAAATACTAAGGCAAACTAACCACACGGTTATTGCTTTGATCCCTAAAACCACTCACTCTCCTACTCCGGCTGATTATAGGCCCATTGCTTGTACAAATGTCATCTATAAGGTCATCACAAAGATTATCTCTAACAGGATGATTCCTTGTTTACCCGACCTTATTGATCCGGCCCAAGGGGCCTTTGTGAATGGCAGATTAATGATAGATAATATCTTTGTTGCTCAAGAGTTGGTCAAAGGCTATGCTAGAAAACATACTTCACCATGTTGTATGATTAAAGTTGATCTTAGGAAAGCCTATGATACCATATCATGGGATTTCCTTCAAAAGGTGCTACTACATATGGGTTTT